CATACCCTACATGCCATTCTGTCTTTTGAATTTTCTTTTTTTTCAGACAGAGTCTCTCACTCTCGCCAGGCTGGAGTGCAGTGGTGCCATCTCGGCTCACTGCAACCTCCACCCCCCGGGTTCAAGCAATTCTCCTGCCTCTGCCTCCCAAGTAGCTGGAATTACAGGTGTCCGCCACCACGCCCGGCTAATTTTTTGTATTTTTAGTAGAGACAGGGTTTCACTATGTTGGCCAGGCTGGTCTCGATCTCCTGACCTCGTGATTTGCCTGCCCCAGCCTCCCAAAGTGTTGGGATTACAGGCGTGAGCCACTGCGCCTGGCCACTTCAGCTTTTCAGTTGAACACTGTGTCCCAGGGACCTTCCCACATCAGTGTATGCAGAGTTTCCTTGTTCCGTTTTATGGCTGTATACTGTTCCACTTCGTGATTAGCTGGACCATAATTTTCTTTACTATTCCCCCAATAGAGGACACTAAGTGCTTTCCAACTTGTTTTTTTAAACATAAACAATGCCACCATGAAATGAACAACCTGGTATACCTTTCACTTTTTGGGATGCGGCTCTATCGTCAGGATAAACATAAATTTCTAGAAAGGAAATATCTGGATCAGAGTGGGTGCACTGGTAGCTCTGAGAGGTATTCACAAATAGTTCTCCAAAAAGGAGACACCAATTTACACTCCCACCAGCAAGTAGGAGGGTGTTTTACTTTTTCTTTCTGAGATGGAGTCTCACTCGTCATCCAGGCTGGAGTGCTGTGGCTCGATCTCAGTTCACTGCAGCCTCTGCCTCCCAGGTTCAAGCAATTCTCCTGCCTCAGCCTCCCAAGCAGCTGGGATTACAGGCGCCCCCACCACGCCTGGCTCATTTTTCGTATTTTTAGTAGAGTCAACGTTTCACCATGTTGGCCAGGCTGCTCTTGAACTCCTGACCTCAGGTGACCCATCTGCCTCGGCCTCCCAAAGTGCTGGGATTACAGGTGTGAGCCACCGCGCCCGGCTGTCTTACTCTTAACATATCCAAAGTGTTCCACTTTTCTTCCAAGTCTGCCTCTCCTCCTCCTGTCACCACCATCACCCATTTGCTCAAGTCTGAAAGCAGGACGCCACCCTCACACCTCCATCCTTGTGCCCCAGCAGAACACCCTGACAGTACTTCTCCTAGAAGAATCTGTCCCCGTCCCGCCTTCACTCCGGTTACATCTGGAGTTAGCCTCAGCCCCTCTCACCTGGACACCTGTGCAGGTGCCCTGCCTCTCCACTCTCCCCCCTCCTCGCCAGCCCACCCCGTCCTCCACACTGCAAGCCAAGGGGCCACAAACACTGCAGCCAGGCAGGCTCACTCTCAGCCCATCATAGGCGTGGAAAATAGGACACTCCCCTCTGCAGGATCCAGGCCGTTTGGTATATCCCTCAAAACCTGGGCCCTGCTGTAAGGCCTGGACCGGCTGGAGTTCTAGGGGTCGTCTCCCTGCATCCATGTGAAACTTCCGAGCGTTTGTCCTTGGGGTTTTGCCTCATGGCATCCCAGAGTCACGCAGGCACTATGTTCACACCCTGCCGCCCTGCGAGATGAACAAGAAGGAGAGCAACAAAGGGAGATTGCTGCAGGCCTGAGTGTGGAGGAGAGAGAAAGAACAGCACAGGAAAGAGAGGCCGGGAAGGCCCCAGCTGCCGGCTCAGGTTCACTTCGTGTAGAAATTGCTCCAGCAGATTGCTCTGCTAAAGAGAGGAAAATACACTTGACGTACGGTCCCTGCTTGGCTCAAAGCTGCGTGTGTCTCTAGGCTGGTGACAAGCGGGCAGAGCTTATTAAAAGCAGTGCACATGGTTCTCTGCCCAAGCTCAGAGCCCTTTCCCTTACCCAGTGTGGGTGAGGAAGTGTGCAAGGCCTAGTAGGCCTCAGACTGTGTGGCTGCAGTTTCTGTAACTTGTTCATCCTGAGAAGTGAAGGTTTGGAAAACGAAACGGAGAGACCCAAGAACGCTATTGGCTTGGGGCATTGGTTCAATGTTTACTCGGCAAATGTGCATCATGCTCCTGCCCCGCGCTGGGCTGAGCTGGGAGCAGGATTAGACACTAAGACAAAGTCACAGAGAAGTCCGGTGCCACGAGCTCTGCAGGAAAGATGCGCCCAGGGCTCTGTGGGCCGACTTTGGGCAGGAAGAATGATGAGGATGTAAATCCTGAGGATACGCTGGCTCCCGCAGACATTCTCAGAGTCCTAGAGAGCCAAGGGGCAGGAGGAATTCCAGCTGTGGTTCTGGAGGATTGTTAAACCTTTTTGGTGTGTTTCCTACTCTGAGGCATGTTTGCTTTACTCACAATGACGATGCGATTCTCTGATTACCTAGCAACTATAATAAAGCTCTAAAGGAAAAGACAGGTTCTTCCAATGCATAGAGAGTCCCAGGTGGAAGGACAAGACCCCAGCCTGGAGAGGAGTTTCTATCGGGAGGAGAATGAGAACGTAAATCCCTGAAGCTGGGAGTGGGTCCGGTGCTGGACCCACTCTGGACAGTGCTGAAATGTACTTCAAGGTCCTTTCTCAGTTGCTGGAGCATTTGAAGGGGATGTTCTCAGAGATCTGGGCTGGTAATCGTTTCCCTGCCGAGGTTTCACCAGATGGCCCTTATGTTGCCACACCTGTCTCCCCAGGTTGCCCTCCTTAATCACTTCGAACCAGAGCCATCTGCCAGGGCAGCGGGCAATGCGATGCTCGTGGGCAGCTCCATCATCTCTAGCCAAGAATCATTTGGATGGGCCAGAACTGCACTCTGGTCCCAGCCAGAGGACCCCAAGTTCCAAAGTCCCTCATTGTGCAAACAAAGAGACACAAGTTGAGGCAAGTCAGGCTCAGAAGGAGACCATGAAAGTCAGCATCTGTGGGAGGGGCGGGGGGTGCAGAGAGGATAGGGGAAAGGGAGGAACCAGCAACGCCTGATCCCCTCCATGTGCCCGACTCTGCAAGTGGCTTTGTTTCCACAAACCTGCCATGCCTCTAGGAGGCAGCACCGATTGTCCCGATTCACAGCTCGGAAGCAGGGACAGATAACATGGATAACTCGCTCAAGATCACTTCAGGCAAAACTGGGAATTTGTCTTAGTTCATTCAGGCTGCTATAACCAAACAGCACAGACAGGGCGGCTTATAAGCAACAGAAATGTGTTGCTCACAGTTCTGGAAGCTGGAAGTCCAAGATCAAGGCGCTGGCAGATTCCATGCCTGGTGAGGGTCTACTTTGTGGTTCCTGTGTCGTCACATGGTGGAAGGGAGGAGGGGGTTCTCTGGACCTAATCTTTCATTATGGCACCAATCCCATTCATGAGGGCTCCACCCTTCTGGCCTAATCACCCCCTAAAGGTCCCACTTTCTCATACCATTACTTTGCAGGGTATGGGTTCAACATACAAATCTTGGGGGGAATACAAGCAATCAGGCCATAGCAGAGTGAAAGCCAAATATCCCCAACTCTAATGTCTACCCCTCCCCTGTAAAACCATATGCAGGATCTACTAGAGAGAACGTGTGTCACACTGAGTGCACATTCCTGGGAACTGAGAGCTTATATAAAAATTCACATCATGGCCTTTTAACTGCACCCATTAACTCAAGACCCCTTGTCTCCAAACCCCAACTTTGACTAGTTAGAGAATCACACAGAAATCATTATAAAGTGCTTAGAACATCAGGGTTTTCACACGGTGACTAATACTTTTGTTTACTTATTTTTATTGATACATAATATTTGTACGTATTGCTGGGGTACATGTGCTATTTTGTTACATGTGCAGAATGCAGAATGTGTGACATCGAGTTGGGGTATTTAGGCAATCTATCCCCTCCAGTATTTATCATTTCTTTTCTTTTATCTTTCTTTCTTTTTTATTTTTATTTATTTATTTATTTTTTTGACAAAGTCTCTCTATGTCACCCAGACTAAAATGCAGTGGCACAATCTCAGTTCACTGCAACCTCCACCTCCCAGGTTCAAGGGATTCTCCTGCCTCAGCCTCCCAAGTAGCTGGGATTACAAGCGTCCACCACCACACCTGGCTGATTTTTTGTATTTTTAGTAGAGACAGGGTTTCATCATGTTGGCCAGACTGGTCTCGATCTCCTGACCTCAGGTGATCCACCCTCCTTGGCCTCCCAAAATGCTAGGATTACAGGTGTGAGTCACCACACCCAGCCTGTATTAATCATTTCTATAGGCAAACACATTTATCAAACCACCTCCATCCTCTAACATTTGTTTTTTCTCAGATGTGAGATCCTATTTGCGGGACTGTAACAACAAGGAACTTTATTAGAGAACTAGAGAGGCACATGTGCCCTAGAGGAGGAGCAGATGTCCTCTGTGAGTTGTCCTCTATCAGGGGTCAGGTTGGAAGAAATCTGGCCCCCACCTGCCTTTGTAAATAAAGCTTTATTGGAACACAGCCACACCCATTCATCTGTGTCACATCTATGGCTGCTCTGTCACTACAACAGCAAAGTCGAGCAGTTGCAGTACAGACTTTGTATGGCCCACAAAGCTGAAAATATTCATGATCTGGGCCTTTACAGAAAAAGTTTGCTGATCCCAGCTCTTACTCACTATGGGATTGCCTGTGCAGGAGCTGTGCCAGCTGTGTTCACATAATACATCCTGTTTTCATTCACCAAGCTCCCTTCCGACTACAAAATTCTACCATTCTCTGATGTAGGAGATGTGACTCAAGGCCACACCGTGCACTTCTCCATAAAGCCACCTCCTGGACGAGTTGGGTTTCTTGCTCTTTTTCCTTCTGAAGCAATCCTCTCTCTCCCACTAGGCCCCCTGAGTGCACTACGCAGAGGTGCCGCCTCTGAGTGGAAGGTGCCAGGCCCCAGAGCTGCCTCTGGGTCTGCAGGAGCACGGAGTGGACAGAGGGCTCTCTCTGCTGTTTTCCATCAGGGCGTGTCCCATCTCAGTCTAACAGGGAGGTGCCCAGAAAACAGGTGGAGGTGAGGGCCACTCAGCCCAGGAGTCCTCTGAGCTGTTCCTTCCTGACCGGCACACACAGCTCGCTCCTTCACTTCCTTTTCCATCCACTGCCGGGCCCAAGCCGGCCTTCCAGGGAGCAGCTATGCCTTACCTCTACCGGGCCCCAGGGCCCCAGGCACACCCGGTTCCCAAGGACGCCCGGACCACCCACTCCTCAGGCCAGAGCTTTGAGCAACTGAGGCAGGAGTGCCTGCAGAGAGGCACCCTTTTTGAGGATGCAGACTTTCCGGCCAGCAATTCCTCCCTGTTCTACAGCGAGAGGCCGCAGGTCCCCTTTGTGTGGAAACGACCAGGGGTGAGTGGGGCGAGCAGGGGAAGGAGCACAGATGGCGCTGAGGCTCAGAAGCTCCCGCAGGAAGTGGAAACGGGAGCTGGGAGGGGCCGGCTAAGCTCAGTGCGACTGAGGTGCATCACCCCAGTCTACTGTGGAAAGCTTTGAAGTTTGGAGGCAGAAAATGATATACAGGCCTGGGATACTCTGCGGTGGGGGCCTGGGGCATCTGGCTGTACTCCGTCCCCTGCCTCAAGCTCTCTGACTCCCACCGAGGCTGAGGACCTGGAGTCAGAGCGGGTCTTGTCAGCAGGTGATAGGCACGAATCAAAACCTTATTCACAAGGACAGGCCCCCACCCTGTGTGTGTGGTAACACTGAGATCACGTATGTACAGTGCTCTGTGGCTTCTGGCCCAGAGCTGAGGGTGCTCAGTGTGGATGGATGTTTAGCTCAGCAAGGTCTCAGCAACTGTGTGACAGATGGAATACAAGGGAAGCAGGAATCTTCTCCCTAGAATCATGCATCCCCCATTCCCAGAGATCAGGGTGAACAGTGCCCCACCTCTGACAGTCTGGAGGTGTCTCCCCAAGAGGTACCAGCTGGTCACTGGGTCCCAAGAGGTGCCAGCTTGTGCCTGAAACACCATGTCAATATTTGCGGTGCTGGATTAGTCAGGGCTCTACCTCTGACCCGGCGCCAGCTGGGCTGGCTTCCATTCCCTCCGGGTGGGTACGGGCCTGGGAGTGGCTACCGTGGGGTCAGGTGGCTTTTGGGCAAGGAGGGGCAGTACAAGCGATGCTGGTCCTACAGGTGAGATCCTGAGTGCCCGTCTTATCCTGCCAATTTGTCTCATGCATATAGCCATATCACTTAATTTCCCTAAGCCCCAGTCTCCTCACCTGTAAAATGGAAACAATAATGACTAACGCAGGCCAATGTCTAGCACACAGAAGGTTTCCAGTACATTACAGCTATTGTCACATTATTACTATCACTGATACTATTATTATCATTATGATGATGATTAGCTCTGAGTCTCATCTTACATATGAGTAGCAGAGGACTCACCATAACTACCTCCTCTCTATCTCCCAACATTAAAATAATGTTGATGATTTAAGGTTTTTTTTAATGCACATTCACAAAACCTCTGGGCTCTTCATGGGCAGGGCCAAGGTAAACCTAAGCGGCTGTTTCCGAAGCGGTAAGCGTTTTGCTGTTTCCTGCGGTAGGCAGTGTGGGGTGCGTGTGTGTGCATGCACTTGTGTGTGTAGGAATTTGACTATGTGTGTGCATGTGTGTGACTGTGTGCACACGTGCGTGGATATGCATATACATATGTGTGGGGCGGGGGTGGCGGAGTGACTGCAGGCATAGGCACACAGGTGCCTTGATCTTCACCCGCCGGGTAGTTGATCCCACAAGGTGCCATGTTCGTGGGGAAATCACAGTGAGCATTCGGTGGCCCTATCAGAGTTAGGGTGAAAGCTCCCAGGCACCTTCCTCACCACACCACAACCCAAAGCCACGCTGTGATTGGTTTTGGTTCTCTGCATATGGCCAATTGCAGTGTGAGGTCAGGGCACTGGCGGATCATGTGGGGTTGCACTTTACAGACAGGATTAGTAGATCATGCTTTGCTAAGTAAGAAAAAGGACATTTCCAAAATAAAAAAGCAGAAGTTACAAGACATAAAACAGTGACCTCTGACCCTCTGCCCGTGACTGTTAGGTCTCCCTGGGCTTATTTCCGGCCTCAGCACGTGAACAAATGGGCGCGTGGGCAGCTGCCCAGGCTGCAGGCTATGGGTGCATTTTTAACTATGGGCGGAAATTTCCCTGCAGTTGATATCAGGAGTCCTGAGAAATAGAGTTCCAGAGAAACTGATTTCCTGGGCTCCCGGTGAGCGGATCCCCTGACTGGAAGCAGCAGCTCTTTCTGTTTGATCCAGGGTGTTGTATAAATGTTCATGTTCTCTACAGGCGCTTGATATGAAAAGGTTGGAAGCACTTTTTCTCTTCCTTAAAATGGGGACAATAACGCAACTTACAGGGTCCTCATGAGGGTCAGCTGCGTTACCATGAGTAGAACACTTAGCAAAGAGCCCGGTGTGTAAAGAATCAGTGCCAGTCCTTGTTATTTCTACTGCTGTCATTGCAACCTAACACCACTGCCTCCTGACTCTAGGAGGGTCCCCGTCCTCGCAGTCTGTCTTGATGTCACTTAGTTTAAAGTATAATCTGTACTCTACAACTCACCTACTTTTTGTCAAAGTTAGAATTCTTCAAGATAAAAGCTGGGCACACAAACCAGCATGGAGGGCATCTTTGTCTCCCTCTTTAGAGTCTCCCCTCCTGGGACCAGGGCCACCAAGGCCTGCCCAGTGACTCTAGAGTCCCAGATCTCCACTCCAAGGGGCTGTCTTCCTTAGTGTTATCTCCTCTGGCATTGCCCCAAATGCTGGGTGAGGCCTTCATTCATAGGCCAGGGCCCTTGATACACACAAGCCCCTGCCAAGATGCACCCTGACCTGCCACCCAGCCCATGCCCCTGTACCAGCCCTCTGTCCCTTCCTCATCCCACTGTCTCCACCCAGGGCAGACCCTTTCCTGATCTTAACCCAGGTCTACTATGTTGCTGTTGTTCCCACGGACTCATTTTCAGAATCTGTTCTGCCTTTTCCTTTGTCTGCAACTGAGATTGTCCCTTTGGTCTGGTTCTCATTCCTGCACCCCTATCTGTTTCTTAATTAGGGGAGTTAGGGGCTTTATGTTGTATCTTACAGATTTCTGTAAAATCAGGAGCAAAAGGGCTGAGGATGAGCATGGAGATTCTTTCTGCAGCATGGAGTCACAGGGGGTCGGGGGCAGCGGGCCATAGGGAAATCACAAGCGTTACCAAGTTCCCTGCAGACCTCTGTGGCTTGGGCATCGTTTGCAGTGGGGCTCAGCACTACGCGGTGCACGTCTCAGCAGCCCGTGGGACCGTGGGGCTGAGGGCCCTCCTCCCCAGCACCACCTTCTTGTCAAACACAGCTGTGCTTGGGGAGGGTGGGCAGAGCACAAAGCCAAGGGGACATTGGAGGGCAGTGGACAGCCAGGCTTGCCCTCCAGGGAGCCCAGGGCAAGGAGTGCACTGAGGGGGTGACTCAGGGAACTGGCTGGGAGGGGCTGGGAGGCAGAGAGGTGATAGGCTCAACCTGGAGAGAAGGTGACATCACCCCCAGGTCTCATGCAAGGAGCTGTGTACCTGAGTGTAAGCAGGTGCACAGAAAGAAGAGGAGGGAGTGATGGGGAGCAGCCACCATGCAGTCCCCCAGCCTGATGGGGAGCAGCCACCATGCAGTCCAGCCCTCCTTGTCTGTACCCATCTGTTTTTGGCCAGGCAATTCCTCTCCCAATTCTCAGTGTAAATCCAGGACACCTCCCTGAAAGTGCCCACACCCCTCTAGCCCGTGTGGACAACCCCCCGGCAGACCTGTGCACAGCGTGGGACGTGATCACAGCCTCTCCTGCACGGTGGGCTTGCTGTTCCCTGTGCTGCTCCCCTGACCCCTGGGAGGGGTTGTCAGTTGTTCTGGGACAGCCCCAAAGGCCCCATGGCCTCCATAGTGCCAGGCACATGACAGGGATGAGCAGACAGCTATGAACGGCAGCGTCCGGCATCTCCAGACCTTGCTAGAAATGTGGCTTTTCTTCACTGGAAGGTCATGTGAAAGAAAGGATGCATGAAAAAGAAAGAGAGAAAGAAAGAGAAAAAGAGAGGAGAGGAAGAGAGAGAGAGAGAAAGGGAAGGAAGGGAAGGGAGGAAGGGAAGAAGGGAGGAAGGAAGGAGAAAGAAAGAGAAAAAAGAAAGGAAGAAAGGAAAGGAAAGGAAAGGAAGGAAGGAAGGAAGGAAAGAAAGAAAGAAAGAAGGCTTTTCCCTTTGTAAATTATTCAGTGTGCTTAATAGAGGAAAGTCTGTGTCTTCAGCTGAGCCGCGATGATGTACAAGGTAAACAGAACAGTCCCTGAAAGCAAACATTCCAGGGTGACCGGCCCTTAGTGCTCCAGGAAAACCACCTGGTGGTAGGGCAGTGGGGCGGGGAAGGGCGAGGGAGGGGTCTGCGTGCCTCCCTCAGGGATTCAGGCATCTCCAGGCAGCAGTCTGGGCTCACTTCAGGTTTGTCAAGACCCCTGCTATTGAGACACCTATGATCGTCCTATAACAGGACTGTAGCTTCAGGTAACCCCATTCTCATGGCCTTCCAAACAACATTTCACAGGAACAAATGTACATCCAGGATCGACATGCACATGCAGGACACTCACGCGTAGACAATGCTCCCCAGTGCACAGGCAACCAGCACAACATGTGGAGCATGCACAGGTACAGACGTGTACCCCACCTGGGCACACACACCAAGGCAAGTCACAGGCACCTTGCACATGTGGGCATGTGGGCCGTTACATACACACCACTCCCAGGCCCGCGGCCTAGCTGCCGTTCCACACATGCGTCCGCAGAACCCCCTGCGACTGGCCCGGGTGCACACCAATTCCCAGAAACAGTGACCCGCAGAGGAATCGGTCACACATCCAGTCAGCTCCCCAGTTTATACCCGATGACTAATTTGTGTTTACTTGGAGAGAGTTTCTGAGTTTTCTCCTTTTGTATTTTTCTCCTCGTTGGGTGCGATTTGGTTTAAAACAAAAACAAAAACAAACCTCTCCTGAACAAAACAACCAATTGCAAGACAGGAGCTGGAGGCGGCGGCAGCTGCAGGCACAGTTGGTGTGGTTGGCCGGGCCAGGCCTGCAGAAGGCTGGGGGAGGGGAGGGACAGGGAGGATGGGAAGGAGGCGGGCATCCGGGAACAGCCCTGCCCCAGGAGCCGGCACAGCCTGCTGGGCAGGCATCTGTGGCTTTTGGAGTCCATTTTATGTCCACTTGAGGAGTGAGTAGCAGTGGCAGTGGGGGCATTGCTCGCCAGGGCAATCCCCTGGCAGGGACTGGGCAATCAAGACAGGGAGGGCTTGGGGGAATCCTGGGGTTCCCTTTGGGCAGGCACATTCTGCAACAAGTCCAGAATGTCTAAGCTGGCGACAGATGAGGATGCAGCCGTGAGAAGTTAAATGGTCCACCCTGAGCCCCACTGCTGAGTGGGGCAGGCTATTGCTAGGACTCTACTGAGGCCCACTAACATGGTCCTGGTTTGCATTGTCCTTATGGGCTCAGCTCAGAGCCACTCGCAAACTCCTGCGCTAGCTGAGGTGCAGGAGGAAGAACAGCAGTGTACCTCCTACAGATGAGAGAGGTCTACCAGGACCCCAGAACTGAGTGCTGCCCCCCACCTTCACTCCCTTTCCAGCCACCGTGGAGATCAGAGTCATTTAATGAAAAGGCTCCAAGGCTACCTGGAGCTGGGGGTGGGAATGCAAAGACGTGTGAGACCTGGCAGAGGAGAGGCCAGCATTTGGGAGGTCCTTACTTCTGCTGGGCCTGGTGCATCTAAAAACACCGTGTTTTTCAAAAATTCTCCTGGCCAAGCTTTCTTGAATATTCTAGACACTAATGCCGCACATAGCTCTCCCTGGGAAGGCGCCCCTGGTGTCTGTCACTCCTCCAGGCTGTCACATCCTGGGAGATGCAGAGAGAGCACCAGCACTTGAAGCTTCTGCTCTTGGTCCTGATAATTCCCTTGACTTCAGAGAAATTTCTATCCTGCCTGTGATTCTTAGGGACACAAGATCAGAGGAGAAGCAGGGTCCTGAGAAGCCTGAGGAAGACAATTCAAAGTAGAGGTCTCTCGGGGAAAGTGGCGCAGCTTGAGCTCCCCACGCGGCGTCCGCCCAGACACTGCTGGAACCTTCCACCTCCAGCCCAGGCCCCTCCTCAGTCCTGGTGCCTGGAAAAGTGGGGAGAGGGGGGAAAAATCCTTCACTCCTCTGCAGGCCCCGGCCCAGTTAACTCACCACACCTGCAGGGTGAGCCAGAACGTGCCTCGCTGTCACAGGATTGGCTGTTTCCTCTTCCGGGACGGGCCCGGCTTCCTCCCTCCTTCCCTTTGTTTAGGTCTGTGCTCCTCTGCTTCCCCTAGAGACGCCTCCCCTGCAGACTGCGGTAGCTAGCCTTGCCCCATCCCACCCTTTCCCTCTCCATCCTCGCTCTTTTCTCTCCTGGTTTATGGTTTGTCTCCTCCTCAGATGCAATTTGCAAAACTCTCCTGAACAAAACAACCACTTCTGGGAGGTGGTGGCAGCTGCAGGCACAGTGGGCACCGTGGGTGAGGCCAGGCCTGAGGCCGGCTGGGGGAGGGGCGGGGCAGGAGATGGGAGGGGCGGGGCTTCCGCAAGCACGGTCCACCGCATCCAGGGCAGCTCCAAGAGGGCGGGGGCTTTCCCTCTCTCTTTGCTGCCATCCAGTGCCAGGAATGAAGCCCAGGAACCCAAATGGTGGAAAAATATATGCATTTCGTAAGATTATTTTCTACCCTTTTTGGTTCATGAAATATCCCTCCATATTGTATATGTATATATTAATATGTATTAACGATTAGATTAATATAATGTATGTGCTTATGTGCAATATAGAATAATATATATATGTATATATAATCCACTTCGGTGAAACCATATGAGAGATGCGTGGATATCTCTCTTTATATGGTATAGATACATATAATTTCACCTAACTGCATATCTAAAAAAAAAGAAACACTGGGCAGGGTGGCATGTGTCTGTTACCTTAATACCTTGGGATGCCAAGGCAAGAGGATCACTTCAGGCCAGGAGTTTGAGACCAGCCTGGGCAACATAGCGAGACCCCCATCTCTACAAAAAAAAAAAAATTATAAATTAACTGGGCGTGGTGACTCATGCCTGTAGTCCCAGTTACTTGGGAGGCTGAGGTGGGAGGATTGCTTGAGCCCAGAAGGTCAAGGCTGTAATGAGCTATGATCACGTTACTGCACTCCAGCCTGGGTGATAGAGCAAGACTCTGTCTCTAAACCTATATATATTTGGAATCCACTGGCAGGGAAGGATTAAATTAAAAACTGGAGAAGCTGGGTGGGTGGGGAGTGTGTTTAGTCCAAAGCCCCAGCCTGTGGTGCATGCATTACTCAGCTCGTTGAAGCCCACAGAGGTCACAGAGCTCACAGCTGGGGTAGCCCTGGACTCCTAGCCCAGTGCCTGAGTGAGCACAGGAATCCTCAGCGTGTGGCTGATGTCCCACTTTGTGGCCAGGTGTGGCCTGAGTCTCTTGGGCCAGTGGTTGGTGCTGAGTGCTGCTCAGTAGGCAGGACTCCCCAGGGGAGGAGATTACCAAAGATGAGCCCAGGCTTGTGCAGAGCATAGAGAGGTGGCAGCCTTTTCCATTCCCGTGGCCCTCCTCAGGGAAAAGAATCAAGCATGACAAAAGCCCTCTGCCCCAAGAAAGCAGAGACCCTGAGCCCGCCTTTCATGGCGGCTTGCAGCATGGCAGGTCTCAGTCTAATAACACTCTCTTTCCTCCAGGAAATCGTGAAAAACCCGGAATTCATTCTTGGAGGAGCCACCAGGACTGATATCTGCCAGGGAGAGCTTGGTGAGTGTGAGTGGATGGAGCATGGCGAGAGGGAGGTTAGGTCGCTGGGACAGGTGAGCAACCGCAGCATGGGGTCCCTGAGGACCCAAGAGGCATGGGGTTGGGGGAACAACACTGCTTCAGCCTCTGCTTCCTCGTTCCCTCTGAATGGAGTCCAGTGGCCTCAAGCCCCTGCACCCCTGTTCCTCTAGAGTCAGATGTGCCTGTGATGTGGGGCTCACAGCCCCAGAGTTTCCAGAGGAGAGTGACACCCAGCAGCATTGGTCGGGCTCTCCTACACCACCATGGTAGCTAACACCTGTACACATGAACTCAGTCACCTGCCAGGCACTCTCCCTAGCACACATGGCCTCATTCCATCTTCCCAACCCACCCTCCTAACGTCACAGATGAGAAAACGGAGGCTGAGGAAGGCTCAGTAACTTGTCCAAGGTCACAGAGGTGGCAGACAGGCAATCAGGATGTGAACCCAGACCTTCCAGCAGTAGAGCCCTTGCTGCTAACCATTATACACACTGCCTCTTGAGGAGCACACCCTGGGGAGCCGCTCCCCAGCAATCCAGTCTGCCTCCTGCAATGGACCTGAGTGCGCCTCAAGTCACTCAAATTGGGTCTTGCATTTTAGGATTTAATCCAAATGGGCTGGGTTTACCTTTAGTCTATCTATGAAAGAGCAAGAGAGAGAGAGAGAGAGACTTTCTTTTAAAAAACACCAGTGAAATCAGCCGAGAGAGCAAACCACTGCAAGCTTGTGTGGACCCTGACTTACTTATAGCTGAGGTTGCCACTGTGGTCTATTGGTTAAGAAAGGCCATGCTGGAACCTCCAGGCTGAGCAACTGAGCTACCCTAAACACAAGATCCAAAGTCACAAAGCTAGACTGATAATAGTTAATTAGCTAGACAGAGAGACAATTGAGAGAGAGAGAAGCAGATGGATAGATAGAAACATAGATAAGAAATAGATGATAGGTAGAAAATGGATGCATAATTAGATAGATAAAAAGATTGATAGGTTGATTGATTGACTGATACACCATACAGAATAAATAGATAATAATAGATAGATGATTGTAAATAATGATAGGAAGGTAGGTGGGTAAATACATGGATGGATAGGTATAGATAGATGGTGGATGATAGACAGAATTACAGTTGACCCTTTAACAACTTGAGTTTGAACTGTGCAGGACCACTTCCAAGTGGATTTTTTTCAACCAAACACAGATAGAAAATACAATATTCCAGGCCGAGTGTGATGGCTAACACCTGTAATCTCAGCACTTTGGGAGGCCAAGGCAGGAGAATCGCTTGAGCCCAGGAGTTCAAAACCAGTCTGGGCAACATAGTGAGGCCTCATCTCTACTAAAAATTAAAATAGAAAAATTAGCCAGGCTTGGTGGTACGTGACCATAGGCCCAGCTACTTGGGAGGCTGAGGTGGGAGGATTCCTTGAGCCTGGGAAGTTGAGGCTGCAGTGGGCTGAGATCGTGCTACCACACTCCAGCCTGGACAACAGAGTAAGACACTGTCTCAAACAACAAAAAAGAAAAAAAGGAAGGACAGAAGGAAGGGAGAGGCAGGGAGGGAGGGAGTGAGGAAAAGAGGAAGAAAGGAAGGAAATATACTATTCCAGGGTTTGAAACCCGCATACACAGAGGGCTGACTTGATGGGCAGATTCCACAGGGCTTACTGTGGGACTTGAGTATGCACAGATTTTGGTATACACCGGGGTCCTGGAACCAATCCCCCATGTGTGCCATATTCTAGATACAATGTAGACTTTTCACAATGTTTATGTTCAGGTGGTCCTTCTCCAGGAGATCCTCACTGACGCTGCCTACCTCTCCCACTCCTGCTCTGCCTCCCTTCCCCTCGACCCCGTAGTCTTCCATTGCTATCTAATAGAAAATCATTCTACTGGCTCCTTGTTTTTCAAAGTTTTGGTTTGTCACGTTGGCATAAACATATATTTGGAGTTACAACCTTATATTTTACCTTAGTGGATAGTTGATTCTAAATATTATTTTGAAACACTTACTACACCCAAAGTACTGTCCATGGCATATATACGTTATAAAGAATAAAAGAAAATGAACAGCCGTGATCTTTTGCCACCCTCAATAAGAACTAGAACATCTGGCCGGGTGCAGTGTTCACACCTGTAATCCCAGTGCTTTGGGAGGCTGAGGTGGGAAGATCTCTTGAGCCCAGGAGTTCAAGACCAGCCTGGGCAACATAGCAAGACCACATCTCTATCAAAAAAAAAAAAAAGAAAGAATTAGAACACACCTAGAATAGCATCAAGGCATGCTGTTATCTGCCGGCGGAGGTAGAGGGGAGCTGGGTGAGTGTGAGGGGATGGAGCATGGCAAGAGGGAGGTTGGGTTGCTGGATCAGGAGAGCAACCGCAGTATGGGGTCCCTGAGAACCCGAGAGGCACAGGGTTCTCCCCTGCATTGAGCCAAGATGGTGCCACTTCACTCCAGCCTGCTCCTCCCATAGTGCTCTCTGCTCTGCACCACCCAGACAGCCGAGCAACACACTGACCCGCAGAGGGCACTTCTCCCAGGCACAGCTGGGTGGCCAGCCCCATCCATCTGCCCAGGCCCAAGAGAGAAAAAAGCAATCTTGTTTTGTTGTGGAGTTTTTGTCTTTCTTTTAAATTGCATAAATAACATTGGCTTCTCAATCTCCCCCTGAAAAGTTCAGGGCATTTCTGGCTGAATACATGTGAGGTGTTGAATTCTCAGGCCAGGAAACACTCATTTTCCTCAACTGGGCGAAGCTGAAACTGGGTGGAGAACTGGGAAAGGTCAGCCCACAGCAGAGGTTACTCTATCAGACTCCTGCTGGCCTGGCCGCCCTGAAGCTGAAAGCAGACACCAAGTCTCTCCTTATCTTTGTATCTTCTGCATGGCACAAGGTCTGCCACCCTAGAGGCACTTGGTAAAGTTTGCTGAACAAATGATCCTGCAGGCTCCAGTCATGTCACTTCCTAGTGGCATCTCCCAAAGCCGACCAACAGATGCGTTAGAAACCAATCCTTCTGTGCCCCAGCTAAGGCTGGGGGTGGCTTGTACTCTGCTGGTGACATCTCCCAGAAAGCCAGAACCAGGGCGATTCGGAAGGAGCTTTCCCGATGTTCGGCCCTGGCGAGTCCCTCTTGCCTGTGTAAACAGCCAGAAAGGGCCATATTGCAATGTCCTAAGCCCAATGGTACACGGCGCTTTCCAGAAATGTGAACTCAGAAACTGCCAAGCTGAGTGTGATGGGCTCTTAGGTTCCGATGACATTGGTGTTGTCTACTGAAAACAAATGAATCTGGATAAAGCTGATTTGGATAAATGGATCTTCCCAGATACCTGTTTACACAGGCAACATCTGAAACACTGTCAGGCACACACCAGACACAGCCCACACTCAGTGTGGGCAAAGGAATGCATCCAGGAGTCTGGTACAGCACAGATAGCACAGATAAAATAGGGTTTGATGTTTGACTTCACTTTTTAGTTTTCCTCCAGATGTGTGTTAACATAAAGACGCAGCTGGGAAGTTCAGCAGGTCAGTCAATAAATCTTGAAAATGCAAGGTAATTTAAAGCAAATGGAGCCACCACGGACATACCACTATCTGTGTAATTAAGCTGAGTCTGGGTTGGGGCTGCAGAGGCGATTTCTAACCACCCTCCCCAGTACTGCCTAACTACTTGGGCGGCAGTTATGAAATGTCTGCTCGCCCAGCCCATGCTGACACTGATGTATGCAGCCTCAGTCCTCTGGAAAGGGAGTTGCTGGAATTCACAGAGCTGAGGCATCATGCAGCCATATGTCTCAAACCCAAGTAAGCATATCCTATAACAGTGCCAAGAAGGCAACCGCTGTTTATGATAGACTGGGCAAGAGAAGAGCAGGCAAGGGAGGCAGAAGGGGAGGAGACAGGTATTTGTTGGTGTCCTGTCTATTTTTAAACAGGTAGAAAAGATGTGGCCACATCTGAAACTCCCCATGTCCCCTTCTGACACCGAGTTTTCCTATTTGCTGTGAAATAGTAATGAAAATTGTGATTTATGGCTTTCATTTTGCAGGAGACTGCTGGCTATTAGCCGCCATCGCCTCCCTTACGCTTAATCAAAAAGCGCTGGCCAGAGTCATCCCCCAGGACCAAAGCTTTGGCCCTGGTTATGCTGGGATATTCCATTTCCAGGTAAGAGGGAGCTCTGGGCAAGTGGGTTTACCTCTCTGGGGTCCAGCATGATGCCAGGTGCATTTTCACACTGTCTAGTAACCCTGGAAAAAAATGTCATCAGATCTGTGTGACATATGGCCCTAAACCATGCTAAAGCCACATTTTATCACGGAATAACAGCTAAATGCCTCCGAAGAACATTAACGGCATTGCACGGCAAATCCTTGTGGAACATACATGTAAAACTGTAAGTGATGTTTTGGCAAATCTGGGGTCCATATGTTAAGGGTTTTATTATTTGGAATTTCCTGTGCTTTAAGCACAAATTGACTAAACTGATTATGCCTCCAGGAAACTGGTTGATTTCTCATAAACACAGAGGTTCTCCTTATGGAAGAAATGTGAATTTGGACATCTCGAGGGATTTTAAAAAATAAAAACTGAGAAAAATACAGACAGCATCTGCTGGAGTCCCGTGTGACCCGCAGACCCTCAACCGAGGTGCACATTGGGTGAGGCTTGCCCCCCGGAGATGGTTTCCTGCTCCTTCACCTCCACTTTCTATCTCTCCACGCTCTCCTCTACCCTTGTCCTTATATAGAGTTCGACCAGATACTGAAACTTGCCCCTTGTACTTACTTAGGTGGGTGACCTCAGGCAGTTTTCTAAGTGACACTAAGCCTTTCTACACTCATCTGAAGAAAGGAGAGACTGACTGTTCCCCGCAGGCTTCCCGTAGAGCTAAATGGCATCACACATAGGAGCCGGCACAGAGCCAGGCACCAAGTAGGCATTCCTTGACCTTGCACCCCAGACAGTGTCACCTTCTCCTGACTCACAGGCCACCACTCAGGGCCAGCCCGTTTCTTCTGTCCCTGAGGCCTGCATTCTGATAAACAGAGGTACTCTCAAGTCCTGTCACCAATGGCACAGAAGCATTTCAAAGGCACAGACAGCGAGCCGACCACATGTCGTTCAGGAGCATGCAATTCCCAGGGGTCGGGCCTCCTGCGCCGGCGGGCGTCGGGGGTAGGGGGTGGGGGGAGGTGGACAGAGACACTTTGGGTCCCAGGGAAACTCTACCCCTGCTCTCTCACAGACCTGCCACCGCCTGGCTGTCTCCCCTCCCCTCCTGTGACTTCTGCTGAGACTTCTGCTGGCTTGATGGCACCCCCAGGAGCTGGTCTTTCTCCAGTCCTCTTGAGCCCACCAGGTGGCAGTGTTGGGGGTGGTTAAGCTCAGAAAATCAGCGGAACTACTGCCTCTAAACCGGAACCATCACCATCTGATCTTGGGCTCCCAAGGGACCAGTGTTCTTGTCCCTTAAATGTCACAGCTGGGAGGAGCCTTGGCAATCCCCTGACCCAGTCCTTTCATTGACCCCCAAGGACACTGAGTCCCAGGGAGTGGAAGTGGTTGATCCAGGGTTACAAAACAATAAGTAGCCAAGCCAGACCTCTAACTCGGGGGTTTGGGATCCAGCATCCTTTTGTGCTGCCAGGGATCAGGTGGTGGGGAGGAATGAACCTGTTGGTGCCTGTCAGTCCCACAATAACCATACTCTGCCCGCTCCCCTCCTTGGCCTCCTAGGAAGCAGAGCACTGGAAATAAATCCACCTCCTTCACACTCCTCTTCCACCCCTCAGCCACAGTACAGGTGTGTGGGTGCTAGGAAGTTAGCGGAGCTCTCGGGGCTGGTGGATACATCTCTCTTGACTCACAGGCCTCCTGAGCCAGCCCCTCTGCAAGGAAAGCCAGCACTGAGGCTCCTCCCCACCCCTCCCCTGCTCAGGAAGCCCAGGGCCCAGGCCTGGACTTTAAACACCTAACCCAACTGTGCCTCAGTCCCACCTGAAGCTGTGGATAGCCCCAAGAGTGGGAAGCCCCGGAGGGGAGGCCCAGCTGGAGCAGGTGACAGGAATCTTCCTTAAAACACACACACATGTACACACACGCACACACACACCCTCAGCCACACTGTGGCCAACTCTTTTGATTGGGGTTGAATCACTGATGCAGCAAGATGCTCAGGATGACACAGCAAAGCTGTAAATAAATGGCTCCCAAAAGCACTGTGCCTACCCTCCTCTTTCGACCTCTATCTTCTTACTCTTAGAGGTTACCTTAGGATTGCTCTCAGGCCAACTGAACCAGAAGGAACGGGGAGGAGGTGGGTCACTGCAGGATACACAGAGAAACTACACATGGTCCTTGACTCATTCCAACCTTCCTTCCTGTTCCCAGCAGACCACACACAAGCTCACACACATGCATACATGTGCTCAAGCACACACGTGTGTAGAAGCACTTGCAAACACATGTGTGCATACATACACACACGTAAACATGCATGTGCTTGTATGCACACACTTGCACACATGTGAGCAAACACATGCTTGCACACATGCAATGTATAAATAAACCACAAAGAGTGCACATACCTGTCATGCCTGCCTGCATGCACGTGTATACACATGTGTGCACACATATGCATTCACACACAGCCATGCTCTCCTCACGCCTCCTCACCTGGCACACAGGAGATACTGAGTCCACCTGTCTCCTGTGTGAATGGCCAACAAATGAGTCTTAGGGGCTCCACTTATGGGTGAGGAGGAAGCAAGGTTAAGGCAAATTGGAGCTAGACCCTGAAACTGGGTGGGAGAGAATAATGGAGAACTGGGCTGCAAAACAGCAAACTCAAACACCACAATACATTCTCCCTCCCCCACAAAAACAACTTTCTTGTGAAGAAGAAAAACTAATTCAGAGCACCGTAGAGTGTCTACTTGTGACTCCTGTTCTGCCTCCCCCTTGCCCGCAGCCTTGATGGGTTGACCTTGAGTCTTTGAACTGATGTCAGTAGTTGGTGCTGGGTACAATGCTCAGCTTGTAACTTAGCGGACGAAGCCCAGATGCCCTACCATGGAACCTGTGTGTGATTTTCAAAGCTGTCTATGGGTAGCTTGGTCAGAGGGGAAAAAAGCAACAGGATCAACATTTACAAACAGGGCCTGGAGCTCCCATGTAGCTGACTCCCATCATTTCTGTCTTTTTCCTGGGCAACAGTTCTGGCAGCACAGTGAGTGGCTGGATGTGGTGATCGATGACCGCCTGCCCACCTTCAGGGACCGCTTGGTTTTCCTCCACTCTGCTGACCACAATGAGTTCTGGAGCGCCTTGCTGGAAAAAGCCTACGCCAAGTGAGTGACAGCTTCCCCAGCTCGGGCAGCCTCCCGACAGGAGTCTCTCCACTGGCCTTTGGGCATCTAAGGGCTGGGAAAAAAACAGGGCTCTGGGTTTGCAGGTGAGGCCCAGCAGGACCCAACCCTCTCAGGGCCCAAGAGGGGATGGAGGTGGGTTTCCTGTCATGGCCTAGATGTGCCCATCTTTGGGAACGGTGGCTACATTCATGACCCTTTGTCTCCCTGGGTCGTGAATCTGACCTTTGGAAGAGCTGGGAAGGCAAGCGGAGGGGAATTCTGGCTGTGCCGACAGCACTTAGTGCTTCAGACTTCTCCGACACTGGTATGGCTCAAACATCTGGGCTGTCACCCACATGGATATAGAGACACCGATTGTCCATCCTACAGGATGCTTCTTTTTTATTTTTAAAAAATCGTGATAAAATGTATGTAACATAAATTTTACCATTTTTAAGTGTGCAGTTCAGTGGCGTTAAGTACATCCACATTGTTGTGCAGCCATCACCACCATCTATCTCCAGAACTTTTTCATCTTGCAAAACTGAAATTTTGTCCCTATAAACCAATAACTTCCTATTCCTCCCTTCCCCCAGCCCTTGGCTACACCACTCTACTTTCTGCTTTTATGATTTGACTAGTCTAGGAACCTCATATAAGTGGAACCAAGACATTCATTTTTAATCACCAGCCAAATGGCCTCAGTTTCCTCAGGCTGTCAATTTGCAGCCCACTAGCTTGTTAGTGAAAGGCCACAGCAGCCTGAATTCGATCCACAGATGATGGCAGAGCTCCTGGGAGCCACTTTCAGGTTCAGCCTGGATCTTCAAGCCATGAGAATCCTATCCCCAGAGACAGAAGCAAGGATGGTCTTGCTTCTACCTCCAAGTGGGGCATGAAAGTGGCAAAAATAGAGTGAAGGCATACTGTGGTTAAATTAATCCTGAATTCAGCAGGACAGAATTAAAACCATCAAAGAAGAACTAAAGATGCCCACGCTTGCCCTCTGTCCCACCCAGGTCTGTGCAAACACCATCAGTGCCACTAGACAGGCCTAAGGGGACACAGGGCACTGTTTCTGAGTCCAGTGGGTGGAACCCAAGCCCAGCTCTGCCCTCTGGTGAGTGCCCCACACAACAGGATGCAAGCAAAGCAACAGAAACTGTGCATCATCTAGTTTCTAAACATAAAAAAGGTTTATTAGGGTCCTTTAAAAAGGCCAAAAATGGTTGGCAGAACAGTTCACAAAAAAAAAAAAAAAAAGATGTATAGATGGTGTTATGGTTAGTTTTATGTGTCAACTTGATTGGGCTAAGGGATGCCCAGATAGCTGGTGAAGCATTATTTCTGGGTGTTTCTGTGAGGATGTTTCTGGAGAAAATAGCTTTTGAATCTGTAGACTGAGTAAAGAAGATTGCTGCCACCAATGTGGATGAGCATTATTCGAATTGTTAAAGATCCAAATAAAAGGAAAAGACAAAGGAAGGGTGAATTCCCTCCCCGACTTCAACTGGGACATCCATATTCCCCTGCCCTCGGACATTGGAGCTCCTGGTTCTCAAACCTTTGTACTCAAACTTGGACTACATCATCAACTCCCTGATTCTCAGGCCTTCAGACTCAAACTGAATGATACCACCAGCTTTCCTGGTTCCCCAGTTTGCAAATGGCAGATTGTGAGATTTCTTGGCCTCCCTAACTATGAAAGCCAATTTCAAATGTATGAAATAACCTCACTTAAGGGGTTGGAAAGAAAGGTGCTGACCTAAGTAACTTTGGAAATTAGTGGAGTCTGTAAGATTAAAAGCAAAAGAAATTGTACGTGAGTGCTGTGCTCTAGTTGCTAAAGTGGTTTCTCAAAGGAATACAAATGAAAAATTGATCTAATTATACACACATACTGAGTTGAACAATCGAGTGAATGGAGGGTGGACGGCAGGAACCGAGTTTCTCTCTATTGGATTGAGAGGTTACAGATAGGCAAGGGGAGGAGGCCAGAATGATCCATGCAGATTAGAGTTGGAGATTCCAGAATTAACTTAGATATAGCTTAATAGAGATGGTTACGTAGAGATACATGGATCTATACATGGGTTATCATACACGTATATATTGATCTATACTTGGGTTATCATACACATATATATTTCCTTGCTTTGTCAGTGAGAGGAGCTAGAAGCAATGACAATCCTGTAGCAACAAGCACACCTATGTCTCAAGTCTTGGTTTCTAAGATCATTCTTCAATCAAAGGAACTAGAGCTTCTTGGAGATAAGGCAAATTCTAGGACTGGGGCATACACACATACATACATATATATATACACATACATACATACATGCATACATACGTAAAATGAGCCTAGGTCATCTTATAGTCCCAGAAAGTGAGAATACATGCAAGACACACACACACACACACACACAAATAAGGCTATGCCAAAAGGACACAAGAGCATGCTGAAGGAGCTCCAAACAGCCAAAGCTAGAAGAATTCAACCAACAAAACAGACAAAGCAGTACTGGATTATGAACCCAAGTAGAGGCCGGGTGCCGTGGCTCACACCTGTAATCCCAGCACTTTGGGAGGCCGAGGTAGGTGGATCTCCTGAGGTCAGGAGTTCAAGACCAGCCTGGCCAACATGGTGAAACTCCGTTTCTACTAAAAATACACTAATTAGCCGGGCATGGTGGTGGGCGCCCGTAATCCCAGCTACTTGGGAGGCTGAGACAGGAGAACCATTTGAACCCAGGAGGTGGAGGTTGCAGTAAGCCAAGATCACGCCATTGCACTCCAGCCTGGGCAACAGAGCAAGACTCCATCTCAAAAACAAAAACAAAACAAAACAAAAAAACCACAAAATAAACCCAAGTAGAAAATAAATATCAATGGGTCCATACTACTTTGAGTAAATGATCGTATAAATAAATGCGGAAGAAGGAACAAATATCCTGTGTAGAATAATTCCAAAAGATTATGTTTATATTCCATCCTTGAGAGGTGGAGCATAACTCCCTAATTTTTTCATGCGGGCTGCACATAATGATTCCTTCCAAAGAGTTCAGTATGGAAAGGGGAGAGAAGGAGCAACTTTCCAGTGGAGAAACCTGACTAACACTACCTTAGCCAGGTGATCAAGGCCAGCATCAGCCATGGTAAGGCATGTGGACAGCAGGTGCCCTTGATATGATGAGATGAGAAGGGAGCTTTACCTCTCTGGTCTTCCTTCCACTAACCAATAGCTCTACTCTTTTTTTAAAAAAATTATTATTAACTTTTTTTTAGAGACAGCGTCTTGCTCTCTCACCCAGGCTAGAGTGCAGTGGCACCGTAATAGCTCACTGCAGCCTGGAACTCCTGGGCTCAAGTGATTCTCCTGCCTCAGCCTCCGAAAATGCTGGGATTACAGGCACCAACCACCACACCCAGCTATTTTTTTTAGTTTTTAAAAACTTTTCATTTTTTATTTTTATGGATGCGTAATAGCGTACATATTGATGGTGCACATTTGATATTCTGATTACAAGCGCACAATGTGTGATTATCAAATCAGGGTAATTGAGACACTCATCACCTTAAGCATTTATCATTTCTTTAATAGCCCTAGTCTTATCATGAGAAAAAACATTAGACAAATTCTAATCCTGCAGTATGCCTGCCCAGGACTCCTCAAAACCGTCAAGGTCATCAAAAACAAGGACAGTCTTAGAAACTGTCACAGCCACGAAAAGCCTGAGGATACGTGAGGACTCAGTGCAATGTGGGGTCCTGAGTGGGATTCTGGAACAGAAAAAAGACATTAGGTAGAAACTAAGGGAGCCCAAATAAGCTGTTAATTATTAAGTCTGTTTTCATACTACTGATAAAAACATGCCCAAGACTGGGCAATTTACAAAAGAAAGACGTTCAATTGGATTCACAGTTCCACGTGGCTGGGAAGGATTCACAATCATGGCAGAAGGCAAGGAGGAGCAAGTCACATCTTACGTGGAAGGTGGCAGGCAAAGAGGGCTTGGGCAGGGAAATTCCCGTTTTTAAAACCATCAGATCTGATGAGACTCAATCACTATCACAAGAACAGTGCAGGACAGCCTGGGCGACAGAGCGAGACTCCGTCTCAAACAAAAAAAAAAGAATAAAAACAGTGCAGGAAAGACCCACCTCCCTAATTCAATCGCCTCCCACCAGATTCTAAAATTCTACATCGAAAAGCTTATTTAACAATCAAGCAGAGCACTTACATGTAAAATGCCTATGAATAAAAGAGATGACTATGAAAGAAAATGGTTAGGGGTATATGAGACCAGAGAAGAGAAAAGGCCTCTCTCTGTCCACATAGTCAGGCCCTGTTCCATGGGAGACTGCAGAGTGAAACACAGCATTTGAACCTCACAGCAGTCCTAAAAGGGAGAGCACAACTCTCCCTCATTTTGCGTATAAGAAAACTAAGGCACTGAGTGACCTGGTCATTCAGATGGTAAGTCGTAGAACTAGGATTTGAACCTGCAGCCACTCAGGCACCAGGGCTGCTGCTCTACACCACCACACCACACTGCCTCCCTTGCAGGAAGCTCAGGATCTTTGGCTTCCTCAAAGGTCCAAGCAAACCCTGATGCTTGCTTCCCATCTTCCTTCCACACCACCCAGCCAGGACAAACCCTGGGAGATGCTTCTGGCTTCGTTAGAAAAGCTCTGACTGCAGGGTGCCCCCGGTGGCCTCCCTAGGTCCCTGACTGTCTCCTCTCTCTCCTGCCACCCTTGCAGGCTAAATGGGAGCTATGAAGCTCTGAAGGGAGGCAGCGCCATCGAGGCCATGGAAGACTTCACCGGGGGTGTGGCAGAGACCTTCCAAATGAAAGAGGCCCCCGAGAACTTCTATGAGATTCTAGAGAAGGCTTTGAAGAGAGGCTCCCTGCTGGGCTGCTTCATTGATGTAAGTCGCTCATGAGCTCCCATTCCAGGCAGTATGCTGGGGCTGCAGTCTGCACCAGGTACCCCAGCCACACCTAAGAAGGGGCATAACTCTTGGGGGGCAGTGTTTATTCCTGCTAATTAAAACACAAATTTTAACCAGGCATGGTGGTGTGTGTCTGGAGTCTGAGGCAGGAGGATCCCTTGAGCCCAGGAGTTTGAGGCTGCAGTGAACTATGATCGTGTCACTGCTCTCCAGCCTGGGTGACAGAGCAAGACCCTGTCTCTAATAAACAAATAACAAATAAAACACAAGTTTTTATTTAATGGTTGTCAAATGACAAAGGTAAGATGTACTTGCTGTTATCAGATGGAACAATCTTGAGACCCATACAGGTGCATTTTTACCTCCTTCCCACCCGTGTCTCAGCTGCCTCTGTTCTCCAGCTCCACCCTGGGACTGGGATCACCTGGCCTGTACCCTTCCCAGCTCTCTCTCTGCTCGTACAGACAGGCACACACATCCACACACAAACATCAAGGTCAGTTGGTTTGATTTTACTGAAATGCAATCTTTCTATCTAGTTTTCTGAAGTTTTTTTTTTTTTTCATTTCATGTACTATGAAAAAATAGCAGATAGAAGTCTAATGGTATTTTAACACACACATTTATAATTTTATCTCATCTTTTTAAAATTTTTTTGTTGTTTTTTATGGACTGCTATGACACTGTGTATTTTTTTTTTTTAAATCAGTTCTAGTTTTCTGTTTCCTCTTAGATTAGCCATGGGGTCTGTTTTTCGCTAATGAATTAGCCAGTTCCTCTGCACTTTCAGGTTTGTGACGCAGAGCTGTGTGTCCTATTGTTATATGCTTCTTTTCGTCTCTGGGATGTATGTGATTGTGTCTTCTCTCTCACACTATACTACATGAAGGTGACAAGTTGTTCTGTTTGGGGACACAATAGTGAACTGTTCATTGGAGTCCACACTGGGAACGAGCGCCTCCCCATCCTGGGAAGAGACTGGAACTTGCTGCATTTCACTGCTAAACATCCTAGGGAAGTCCCATGCATAGCCCACGCACATGGCCTGCACCTGGGGCAGCAGAAGGGGCTGGAGGTTGTGACCAGGCCAGGCCTGTAGCCGGGTCTGATCCAGCAGGGGAGGCTTGACTTAGACGGTGCGTGTGACTCTGCTCTTGCCATGTTTTAGACCGGAAGTGCTGCGGAATCTGAGGCCCGGACGCCGTTCGGTCTTATTAAGGGCCACGCCTACAGTGTAACCGGAATTGACCAGGTAAGTGACTTGAATTCCAACCGCAGGGTGAGGGGAGACGCATGATAATGCTAGTCCCTTAGGCATTTATTCAGTGTGTCGCAGTTTAAATGTCTGCCTTTCAGACATTTCAGGGACACCTAAAGAGTCAGGCTGGAATTCAAAACGGCAAGCCAGGAAAGAGAGAAACCGTGTGATTCCACCGCAGCACAAAACTCGTTTAGCAGGTGGAAGCGCCTGATCTTTGTTTATTTTTAATTTCCTTTCTTTCCCAATTCTCCACCAGTCCTGTGTTAATCAGGATTCTTCAGAGAAATAGAATCACTAGGGAACCAAATATACGTACATACAATTAAGCACACACACATATCTATCTATCTATCTATCTATCTATCTATCTATCTATCTATCTATCTATCTATCTACATCACACAGTTGACCCTTGAACAACACAGGCTTGAACTTATGTGGGGATTTTCTTCAATTTCTGCCATCCCTGAGACAGCAAGACCAACTCCTCCTCTTCCTCCTCAGCCTACTCAATATGAAGATAATCAGGATGAAGACCTTGACAACGATCCACTTCCACTTAATAAATAGTAAATGTATTTCCTCTTCCCTATGATTTTCTTGATAACACTTCTTTTCTCTGGCTTATTTATTGTAAGAATACAGTATACAATATAAATAATTATAGAACATGTGTTAATGGGTTCTTTATGTTATCAATAAGACTTCTGGTCAATGGTAGGCTATTTGGAGCTAAGTTTTAGGGAATACGAGATTTTTTGACAATGCAGGAGGGTTGGTGCCCCAACCCCCCGCATTGTTCCAGGATTAACTGTAATACAATTTATTGTAAGGCATTGGCTCATGCAACTGTGAAGAGTGAGAGGTCCCGTGATCTGCTGTCTGCAAGCTGGAGGCCCAAGAAAGCCAGTGGCATAGTTCCGGTCTGAGTCTAAAAGGAAGGCCTAGCAACCAGGAACACCAATGGTAAAAGTCCCAGTCTGAGGGCAGGAGAGATTGATGTCCCAGCTCAGGAACCCAGGCAGAGAGAGGGAATTCCCCCTTCCTCTGCCTTTTTGTTCTAGTCAGGTCTTCACAGATGAGATGAGGCCCACCTATACCAGGGAGGGCAATCTGTTTTACTCAATCAACTTAAATCTCGTGTCACCCAGAAGCACCCTTGCAGACACAACCAGAATAACCTTGAAGCAAATATCTGGGCACCCCATGGCCCAGTCAAGTTGACACATAAAATTAATCACCACAAATCCCATTCTCTGTAGCTGTAGCCCAGGTGGAACTGATCCTGAGAACACCCAGACTCCACACAGCACCACCCTGACTTCAAGGGAGTGGTTGGTTAGGAGGAGAGATCCTTGAGGGGCACAAGGGGAAGAGAAATAAAGAATAGGATGAAAGAGGAAGACACGAAGCCAAAGGTATCACTCTCCCAGACTCAAGCTCAGCAAAGCCCAGAAGCCTGCCTTGCCCACTCCATACCTCCCCTGGACCAGTCTCAAGCCCAGCACTCAAAAGGCACAGGTGCCCCTGGTCTTCTGTAGCCACCCACATGTTGAGTGACATCCTCTGAATGTATGGGGAGTTCAGAACACAGAAGGGAGGCCCTGCCCTTCCTCCTCACTGGAGCCAAGGTGTGAGATGCAGTTGGACTCTTTGGGATTCTTTAGAATGTTAGCTATTTGTGTTGGTTCCTTCGTCCTCCTTCCCCGTCCATACATGACTTGCAGGTCGGTCACTCAAGTGGGCGTGTGATTTTCTAGCTTAGATCTTCTACGTATTCCATGTAACAACAGAAACCTCCCGTCATCTTGGTTTGCTTGATTTTGCTTCCTCTGCCCCTACAAGGAACTCACCTGACTGAACCTTTCAAATTAAATGAGCTCCTTAAATGGTGAGCCACAAGCCACATCTTGGACTCTGAAGAGTTGATGTTACTTGAATTTTTATACATCCAAAATATCATTTATGCCAAATGCATGAGGATAAAATGTTCTGACTGCTACAGCTTCTGGTTAGTCGATAACTAGAAGTCTTTTACTTTCACTCTCTCTCCTCCAAAACCCTTCTCAAATGCATTGACCCTTGTCCCTGCTCCCAGGCAGAGCCTGAGGGTACACTGGCTCAAGGATGGTTGAGGTAAACAGCAGGAATCCTCATAGATACCTGAAACAAGGAAAATATTGGGTTTCGAAGATGTAAAAGCTCTTTTTGTTTATTGTTGTGTTTAAATTCCCAGCATGTGCTTATTTTCTTATCATTCATCTGTGCATGGGATGCTAAGATGAAGAAAGTTCAGTAATAGTTCCATGAGCATCTTTGAGGACTACTTTTTACCATTCACTCTACTAGATGTTGAAGAGGCCTAAGACTTGGCTCCTGCCTCTAGGGAGATCCCAGTCTAGAGAGAAACCCATCCATTTCTAGATTCACATGGACTAATTTCTTGTTAATTACAATTCCACTTTACTTCCCAAATGTGGCATAAGCATTTTGGTGCCTAATATAGTATCTTTGGCAATAGTAGCAATTATTCAATAGGAATTAGAAGGTTCCAAGGGCTGGTTAAGAACTGGCGAACTTTTACATACCTTCAGCAGCGTTTTAGGCAAGAGACTTTTCAACAACCAGTCCTGGATGGAGCTGGTCCACCTGGAGCTCATGGATGAATGTGGCCAAACGTCCACCATATTTATCATCTCACACTTCCCTCATGCTTTTCTCTTCTAGGTAAACTTCCGAGGTCAGAGAATTGAGCTCATCCGAGTCCGGAACCCTTGGGGCCAGGTTGAGTGGAACGGGTCATGGAGCGACAGGTCAGTCACCCTATCCCGCCTCTCTGGCTGGTTCCCGGGGCATGTGGGGCCAGAGCTGGCTTGTGCAGACATGTGAAGGAGTGACCTGTCTACCACCCTCCCGGGCTCTGACTCAGGGTCCTGTCCCGATTCTGGGGTGCCCCTTCTTCCTCCCCTTTCAGCCCTCAGGCCCACCTTGCATCAAGCTTGATTCTCAAGAAAGACTTACAGCAGTACTCTAACTTTCACAAATTGAATTTATGTCAATACATAAATGTGTTACCTCCCATGGTGATGTTTATAACCCAGTGATATGGTGAAAAGCTTTATCTGTAGTTGTGAGTAGCTCCAGTAAGCAGTGTGCATGTGCATGCGCGCCTGTGTGTTTGTGTGTGTGTGTGTGTGTGTGTGTGTGTTTAGAGTATGGGAATCCCTGAAATATTACCTAGTGTGTAACTATAGGATTCTCTCTGATGGTCACTAACCATGGCAGAGGACCAATAGGCCAGCAGAGAAATAGAAGTGGGACTGAGCGTGGTGGCTCGTGCCTATAATCCCAACACATCAGAAAGCCAAGGTAGAAGGATCACTTGAGTATGAGAGGTTGAGGCTGCAGTGAGCTATGATTGCGCCACTGCACTCCAGCATGGGCAACAGAGTAAGACCCCATCTCTTAAAAAAAAAAAAAAAAAAAAAAAAAAATAGAGGAAGTGGAATTGGATTTTCATTTATTACAGAGCTGTTAACCGGAGTATTGGTCTCCCAGTTATCAAGAAAGGTCTGCCTTTTCTGTGTGTGTCCCCACAGCTCCCCCAGCTCTGGTCCCTTGGGAAGCGGCCCAGGTGACTGGGAACCAGGGATGTTTGGGTGGGTGCGTGGCAGGGTCCGCCTGAAGCTGTTGCTCCTCCTCTGCTTGTTGGGCTCCTGAAGGCCTTTCTTGCCACACCCATGGCCCCTGAGCTTCTGGGGAAATCTGAAGCTAGTCTAGAACTTGGTTAAAACTGAGCCAGGGTTTGTCTTCAGTCCAGACACAGCTACCAGGTCACCAGGCATGGTGCAGCTGCTGCTCTGTAAGCCAGACCCCAGTGTGAGGGCAGAGCACACAGGCGTGTGCTCTCTAGGCTGTCATCGCCCCCATGGAGGTTCTCATCCCACCATCCTCTGCTCTGGCCTTGGCTGCCGCCTTCTGAGAACCAAGAAGCATTGGCAGAGATGAGCTGAGATGGGTTGAGGAGGGAAGAGATTGGCCTCCCTCTCCTGGCAGAAAAGGAAAGCACAGAGAAATATTAAAACCAAAATTAGTGAGACTACATCATGTTGTAAGATGTGCAGTGCCCCTCAGCTTTGAGATAGATAGTAGCCTATAAAGGGAAAATGGGCCAGTTTCTCCCATTTTCTGGGACTCACAGAGGTAGAAATAAAGAAAGTGCATTCTGACTGGGAGCCAAGGCTGGAATGAAGTTCGTCTTCCACTCATGCAGCCTCCATGGATGATGCACGGGGCAGGAGCCATCCTGACCCCCTGACTTCGCTGTGCTGCTGGCGACATGTGAGTAGGGTTGAAGGCACCACGTGGTCAGCCTGTCAGGCCAACTACCTGGGTATAAGCCACTTAAGATAATGGCTCCAAAAGCAATTAATGGCTGCCAGTTCCACTCTTCTGATCCTGGCCTGAGCACCTGGAGACAGGTCCCTGCTGATCCTCCCCTTGGATCTCCGGAGCACTCCGCTGATTTTGAGTCGAGATCACAGGATGAGAGGGAGCTGCTACATTGGCTGTAGCACCACAACAGTGGTGACATACTTTGAACTATTTGGAGGTGACTGTGGGGGTCACAGAAAATGCAATGAACTTGGAGTCACAAATCCTGAGTTTGGAGAGTAACAGGCAGCCACTCCCACCCCCACTCTTCCCTGAGCATGTGTCCATGGGCCTACCTGAGCCCTTTTGTCTGCAGGATGGGCACACATAGCTCACAGAACCCCACCTGGCTTGCTAGCGCGGTCACAGACAGAAGGTGCCCAGTACAGACAACATCAAGCATGGGCAAGTGTAAGGCATTATCACCTTTCCAAGTGTCAGCTTATCCACTAAGGAGAGGCCAAGCACTGCTCCAGGTCACATGGCAAGTTGGAGGCCAAGCACGAAAGTCAGTGGACTTGTGGCTTCCAGCTGGGCTCCTCTGCTACCCCGTGGGCATGCAATGCCTTGCGACTGTCCCAAGATAATCTTCCATGTCGGTGGTTCAAATCATCCTCAGGGGTATTTTATCCATCAGCAGCACTTGGAGATGTACTTTCTGGCCAGCCCTCTTATTTGGGGGCCAGTGGCTCACTGGCCGCTGCATCCCTGGGTGCATTTCTGGGACCCAGTGAGTAGTCACTGAGCAGGACTTATTTCCTCCATAACCACACACCGTGGGTTCCACATCAAGGCCGTTGTTGCTCTTCATGACCTCTGCCT